AAAAAAAAAAAAAAAAAGATTCCATTTACTTCTAAGAAATCTGAGACTTGCTCATGATTAATTCTATGCTGGGAACCCAAACCCCCCAACAGCAAGCTAAGCACAAAGCTAACCATAAACTGTCCCTGAGCCACCACACACTTCTTTCAACACCAATATGAAGTTCTGTGCTAGCATGATCTTCGGATCTGAAATTATAAGGGTAAATGCAGTTACCGTGTATTGAGTCTGCTTTAAAAAATCAAGATCAGGGGCACCTGGGTGGCTCATCAGTCATGATCTTGGGGTCCTAGGATTGAGCCCTGCAACGGGCTCCCTGCTTCTCCTTCTCCCTGCCCCTGGCTCTCCAATAAATAAATAAACAATAAATAAATAAAATCTTTTTTAAAAAAATCAAGATCAGCATTAAATGGGAGAGAAACAGTATCGCTTGCTGGTGGGGAACATGTTTGATGAAACAGTAATGTATTCATGGAACGATGTATAGGGATACTTTATTATCCAAGAATAACTGATACTAGGGAAAGGTAAGTAGATAGATTTTTTAAAAAGGCTTGTTTTGGGTCTTTTCATGAAAACTAAAAAAAAAAAAAAAAAAAAGACTTATTTTTTTGCATTGAATTTTTCCAGAAATAAACCTACCACATAAACTAAGGAAACATTTAATTTTTTCTTTCAGAATTTTACCAAGAGATTTTCACTATTTCAGAAAATCATGTTACTGTGATCCTGCCAACAAAATACCCGGTTATCAGTCCACACTGCTCACTGTGGCTCTGGGCAGAAGTGCACATTTAAATATTTCACGGGTTTAGCTGTGTCCAAGCATTTAAATACTGAAATACAGTATTTCATATGTATATGAAATAATACTTTCATATTATAATTATGACATAACACTATTTTTTAAAAACTATGTGTTGGAAAGCTCTATGAGCTGGGACTTTCATTTCCGCCTAGTAAAGAATCAGGCCTAAGAGGTGGGCACTGGGCTAAGAGGTTAAGAAACCATGAAGGGAAGAGCGAGGGAAGAGAGGCAAAGCCAGGGTCAAGCTCTGGGTCCCTGCAACACCTCACAGGTCAGGGGGAGGAAACAGGAGACTGAGACACAGCAGCCAAGGAGAATCTGAGTGGTGGGCGAGGTGGACTGCAGTGATGCCTGGGGAAGCTGCTCAGATCTCCTTCACGACCAACACCCTCACTCTCTCACCTCCCAGAGGCATGAGACACTACCAGTCCCAGGAGAAGTTCCATCCCAGGAAATGCCACTCACCCCTCCTGGGAATCGGTCAGAATTCATGACTGGGGAGGGGGTTCAGAGACCCGGCCCCCAGGCCTCAATTCAGAACAAGTCAGAAGGGCTATCGGAGCTCCGGTGACCCCCCTGAGACAAGCTGAGGCCTCGGTGTGACTGCACGGTGGCTCCATTTCACTCTCTGCCCAATCTGCCCCCCTCATTCCCCTGCAAGAGTGGTCCCTGAGACCACTCCCGGATAAACTTTCTGCATGCAATCCTTCAAGAGGCTGTTTCCCAAAAAGTCTGACCTAAAGCAGCTGAAAACTGGGAAGAAGAAAAAAAAAAAAAAATCAAGTAGCGGTAACGTATGTTTTTCAGAGATAGAGCAATAGAAGCCAAAATAAGCATCTGAAAGAAATGAATGTTGCCAGGCGCCTGGGTGGCTCAGTTGGTTAAGCGACTGCCTTCGGCTCAGGTCGTGATCCTGGAGTCCCGGGATCGAGTCCCGCATCGGGCTCCCTGCTCGGCAGGGAGTCTGCTTCTCCCTCTGACCCTCCTCCCTCTCATGCTCTCTGTCTCTCATTCTCTCTCTCTCAAAATAAATAAATAAAATCTTAAAAAAAAAAAAAAATTCTTAAGAAATGAATGTTGCCTTTGGCAGGCAGAAAAATTATGATACGGGGCGGGGAGCAGAAGAACATCATGTTATAACAAACTTCACAACTGTCTTTATGTGCAATGATGACTTCAATAAACATTTTTTAAAAGGCTAAATTTAAATTAAAAAATGTTAGCTTTTAATTTATAGCCCTGCAAATAGTCACTTCTTAGTGGAGAAAGCTGGTAGCTGTCTCCTTAAGCAAATGGCCAAAGTTAACGTCACAAATACCAGAAGTGACATCATCACGCACATCCTTACGTGATGCGCTAATGAGGTGCTCCTGCCAGAACACCTCACACCAGGAAGTACCAGGCAAACACTGAGAAACCATCTTAAAAAACGGGCCTGTTCTCTTCAAAGTCATCGAGATCAAGAAAGACATTGAGAGGGGCGCCTGGGTGGCTCAGTCAGTTAAGCGGCTGCCTTCAGCTCAGGTCATGACCCCAGGGTCCTAGGATCGAGTCCCGCATCGGGCTCCCTGCTCAGTGGAGAGTCTGCTTCTCCCTCTCCCTCTGTCTGCCTCTCTGCCTACTTGTGCTCTCTATCTCTCTGTCAAATAAATAAATAAAATCTTAAAAAAAAAAAAAAAGAAAGAAAGACACTGAGAAACGGAGACCCTGTTCCGAACAGAGGGAGACTAAAGAGACTCGACCCTGACGTGCAGCATGAGTCCTTGCCAGGGAAGGACAACGGTTACTAGAAAGGATGATACTGGGGAAGATGATGAAATCTGAACACGGCCTGAAGACTAGTAAATAGTGCATGGATGTTCAATTTCCTGATTTTGACGGTCGCACTGCGATCACGTAAGGGAACATTCTTTTCTTAGGAAATATATACCCAACTATTTAGGGGTCAAGAGTCATGATGTCTTCAACTTCCTCTCAACTGGCACAGTAGGGGGGAAATATATCTGTGTGTATAAATTAAATAGAAAAGCGGAGGAGGCAAAAAGTAAATGAATGAGTGGGTAAAGGATATATAAGAGTTCCTTGTACTATTCTTACAGAATTCTTATTCCACATATCTGTAAGTTTCCAAATATATCAAAACAAAACTACAAAAAAAAATACAATTTCTAACTTTCAACAGCCTACTCTTTCTAATGGTCCTAAGCCTTTACAGAACTTCAAAAATGCCTGCTCAGGCTCATATGATGAGATGCTGGGGTCCCGAATGCCTCAGAAGGGCTCAGATAAAGGTGTTAAAGTCTCAGGATTCTAGGCAGCCTCCTCCCCAGCCCACTCAGCCCCTGGCATCCGGCCCACAGCCCCACTCACCTGCTGTCATGGGAACAACGTCGGAACGCAGCAACATCCGGATGCGGCCGGCCGGCTTGTTCCCAATCTTGATGTCCATGTACATGGTCATCGGATTCGACCGGACCTTTTTTGCCGTGGGCTCTCCCTGGGCGCAGAAGAAATGTCAGGTTGGGGAGCACTAGACTCCGCAAGTCGGAGAGCGGGTATTCTGCATACACACCAAGAACCCAAGGGCAGCGAGCGGGCCGCAGCAAGGTGCCGCCAGCCGGAGCCCCAGGGCCGGGACCCCGAGCACCGGCTAAATAACTGCCCCCCGCCACTGACCCCGCAGGCTCGGGACCGCGTCCCACTTGCCCTCAGACGCCAGCTCGCTGCACCCTGGCCTGTGGTCCCAGAACCCCAGCTCCGTGGCCCACAGTGCGTGCCTCTCCGCACCCGCAAACCCCAGTTCAGGGGCACCTGGGTGGCTCAGTCAGTTAAGCGTCTGCCTTTGGCTCAGGTCATGATCCCAGGGTCCTGGGATCCAGTCCTAAGTGGGGCTCCCTGCTCATTAGGAAGCCTGCTTCTCCCTCCCCTTCTGCAGCTCCCTCTGCTGCTCCCCCTGCTTATACTCTCTGTCAAATAAATAAAATCTTGGGACGCCTGGGTGGCTCAGTCGGTTAAGCGGCTGCCTTTGGCCCGGGGTCATGATCCCAGGGTCCTAGGATCAAGTCCCACATCAGGCTCCTTGCTCAGTGGGGAGCCTGCTTCTCCCTCTCTCTCCCTCTGCTTGTGCTCTGTCAAATAAATAAAATCTTTAAAAAAAAAAATAAAAAAATAAAAACAAACAAAAAACAAATAAATAAAATCTTTAAAAAACAAAAACAAACAAACAATCCCAGTTCAAGCCCACTCCCGTGACAGGGACCCATAACCTTTTCCCTCTGTGCCAGGCCCTACAGATTCATAGCTGGCTGCAGTGGAAGCAGAATGGGCGGCGCTCGGGCTCGGGCCTGAGTGCCCAGGAGACAATGAGGAGGTCGGGCCTTGCTTTGTGCTCTGAGTGCACCGGGATGACTAGCTGATAAATACAACATTCAGTACAAACCCTATCATGTGTTTGCTAGAGAAAACTATGGTCTCTGACCTATTTGTGGTGTGGATTAATAGGGCAACGGATACGTACTGGCTTGCAGGCCAAGTTCTGGAGTTGTTAAATAAGGCCCTTGAGGAACTGGCAACCCAGCGGGGGAGCGACATCCGCGAGTGCGGGAGGCACAGAGATCCCGCGGCTGCACAGCTTTGGTTCCCATCGCAGTTCCCCACTCCGGAGCTGCGTGCTGTTGGACAAGTTATTAGATCTCCCTGTGCTCAGTTTTGTCACCTCGAGTTGGAGACAGTATTAGTACTTATCTCAAAGGATTATCGTTAGGATTCAGGATTTGTAAAGCCCTTAGAACAGTGCCTGGTATAAAGTAAGCAACATTTAAACATCTGTTAAATAACTACTGTCAAAATAATGCTGTAAGCGCCTGAACTGAGGGCGCCCCAGGAGCCCCGGGACCATGGAAGCCCAGAAGGGACCTTCGCTTACTCCACTGGAGGAGTAAGAAAAGTTTCCTGGAGAAGGTAGCAACTGAGCTCAGCGATGAAAGGTGAGTAGGAGTGAGCGAGATAAAGTCGGTTGGGAAGGGAACTTTTTAGGCCAAGGAACTGCTTATGTGAAAACACAGAGATTTATAGGTACCCACAAACTCTGTCCTAGAATGCCAAATGGGGATACAACGTGGAGAGGTGAGTGGGGTCCGAACATAGAGAGTCCCTCTGTCCCCCTGAAGGAGCCCGGACTCACCTCTCCAGATGAGGAGTCCTCAGACAGCTTGAGAGCCGTATGGTCAGCTCTGCCTTAGAAAGCTCCCTCTGGCTGCTCAGGACAGGAGCACGCAGGCCCGGGGCAGGGAGACCAGCTAGGGAGCTCCTGTCACTATCCGCAGGGGAGATGACAGAGGCTAGCCAAGCCATGGTGGCGGGAGCAAACAGGAGAGGAGAGATGCAGGCGGATGCAAAGGAGAACATTAGCAGGACATGGCAACGCAGGAGGTGTGGATTATGATGAGGAGCCAGAGAGGACATGGAAGTCCCTGGTGTGGGGGACTGCGGAAGACACCAAAATTCACTCAGATCGGGTACTCAGGATGACCAGAGTGGAAGGAGAGGAAATCCACTTAGGACGTTACTCTGTTGATTTATGGTGACTGGGAGAGAGGAAATCCACTTGGGATATGCTTTGTTGATTTATGGTGACTGGGAGACATGCAGGCAGAAACATGTGGAACTCAGGAGAGAGGTCAAGGCTAGCCCTAGACATCAGGAAATCAGCAGAAGGCTGAGTGGCTGTGATAAGCTCAGACACGGGCCACAGAGGCCGAAACTGCAAGGACAGCGTCAGAGAGGAGCCGAGGGCTAAGGGAGGAACTCAGAGAAACACCACTGCTCCAAGGGTGGACAGAGGAGGGGGAGCTCGGTTATTTATTCCCAGAAGCAATGGTCACGATGGGGTATCGAGAAGCAGGAGAAAGTGCTGAGGCAGGAAGCGCCCGGCACCTGGGTACATTCTGAGGAGCTGAGGCCTCTCTGGAATCAGGCCAGGAATAGGAAGGCAGCGAGCCTGGTGCCAAGGTCTTCAGTGAGGGTGCGGGAAAGGTCAGGAGGATGGCGGATGCTGGTGAGGGGGTATCCTCACTGTCCTTTCTCATCTCAGACCGCCACCTAGTTCAAGCAATCTCATGCTGGTACCCAAGCACGCACAGGATACTTCTCACCTAGAGCCCCACACGGACAAGAAAGCCAAGCTTCTCCATTCAATTCATCCAGCGCCGCCCACCTCAGAAGCGCCCTGGGTGGAAAGTGCCAGCCCCTCGCTGGGAAGTGCATGCCTTCGATCTCACCTCCCAGGTTTCCACTCTGGGAGGCTCCAACCCTTCTTCCTCTTTATTCTCTTCAAGAGTCTTCCCAGAAAACTTCTTCAGCCAGTCATCATCTGCCCACACTGAAAGGAAAAGAATCGAACGAATGCTAAGAAATTCAAGCTTCTCGGCCAACTGCTCGCTAGCTGTGCCCAGTTCTTCGCTGCTCTGTCGACGAAGTGGACGACGGCCCATGGGGCTCTCACAGGCAGAAGGTACCGCTTAGGACAAGGGAAGCTGTCACTGGGAAATGTCAGACCTTCAGGTCCAGCTCTCCATAGAGGCAGAGGCAGAGGAGAGAAACAAAGAAGGACTGAGCCGAGAGCCAAAAGGGAAGCCCCAGCCACCATCAAGGCTGGAAGGGCACAGTCCGTGTCTACATCCCAGGGCAAGACTTTCCTGGGGACAACGGCTCTAGCTCTGCAGAGAATCTCAACCTCTGTTTCCACGGAGGTGCCGCGTTCTCTTCTCCCCCATACACCTCTCTCCCCGTGGACATACACCACCGCAGCGGGAAGTGAGACAGCGGAGGCCAAAGCTGAGGACGTGACGAGAAATCTGCGGTTGCCGCCACTCGCCCGGTCTGGATGAGCCTTCCTTAATTCTCACTGGGTTGGCTAAATGGACACGAACTGTCTGCCCAAAGAGTTCAATTCATTCTGAAAAGACTACAATACCACTCAGCTGCTTAAACCTTGTTTAAGTTTAAAAAAAAAAAAAAAAAGATTCCATTTACTTCTAAGAAATCTGAGACTTGCTCATGATTAATTCTATGCTGGGAACCCAAACCCCCCAACAGCAAGCTAAGCACAAAGCTAACCATAAACTGTCCCTGAGCCACCACACACTTCTTTCAACACCAATATGAAGTTCTGTGCTAGCATGATCTTCGGATCTGAAATTATAAGGGTAAATGCAGTTACCGTGTATTGAGTCTGCTTTAAAAAATCAAGATCAGGGGCACCTGGGTGGCTCATCAGTCATGATCTTGGGGTCCTAGGATTGAGCCCTGCAACGGGCTCCCTGCTTCTCCTTCTCCCTGCCCCTGGCTCTCCAATAAATAAATAAACAATAAATAAATAAAATCTTTTTTAAAAAAATCAAGATCAGCATTAAATGGGAGAGAAACAGTATCGCTTGCTGGTGGGGAACATGTTTGATGAAACAGTAATGTATTCATGGAACGATGTATAGGGATACTTTATTATCCAAGAATAACTGATACTAGGGAAAGGTAAGTAGATAGATTTTTTAAAAAGGCTTGTTTTGGGTCTTTTCATGAAAACTAAAAAAAAAAAAATATGAAAAAAGATTCCTTAGTTTAGTAAGAGAGAATTATAGCTATGCTCTTGTTCTTAGAAACAGATGAATCAAGTACGAATTTTACTTCTAACAATTAAGAAAAAATTGAACAAGAGCATGAAATATCCTTATTTCATATTTAGTCATAAAGATTGATTATAAGGAAAATAAAAGATTGAACATAAAGATAAAAAAGGGGAGGGTGGAAACATTTAAGAATTTTGTTGTAGGCAAAATAATGGTGCCCTCAAAGATGTCCACATTCCATTCCCCAGGACCTATGAATATGTAGAATTACATGGCGAGAAGGAAGTAAGATTGTAGATGGAATTAAGGTCACTAGTCTGCTGACCTTAAAATAAGGGTATCATACTGGATTATCCAGATGCACGCCCAGTGTAATCACAAGGGTCCTCTAAATGTGCAGAGGGAGGCAGGAGAGTTAGTTTCAGACTGATGCAGTGTGAGGAAGACTCACTGGGCCACTGCTGGCTTGAAGATAGAAGCGACCAGAAGCCAAGGAATGAGGTCAATCTCTACAAGCTGGAATATGCAAAGAAACAGACTCTCCCCTAGAGCCTCCAAAGGAATGGAGCCCTGCTCACGCAGTGAGACCCACTTTGGACTTCTGACCTCTAGAACTGTAAGATAATACATTTGTGGTGTTTTGTTTTGTTTTTAAAGATTTTATTTAACTCTTTGACAGAGAGGTGAGCACAAGCAGGGAGAGCGGGAGAGGGAGAAGCAGGCTCCCCGCTGAGCAGGGAGCCCAATGCGGGGCTCGATCCCAGGACCCTGGGATCATGACCTGAGCCGAAAGCAGATGCCTAACGACTGAGCCACCCAGGTGCCCCCATTTGTGGTGTTTTTAAAGCCACTAAATTGGTGGCAATTTGTTACAGCAGCAGTAGGAATTTAAATCATTTTCTTTTGAAGCACTCAGCCTATCACAATCCTTACAGGTTTTCTCTGGTTTAACTACAAGAGAGCCACTTTTCTAGGGCTCAAAAGAGTCTCCGCTGTTGACGAGAGCCAACCACAGCAGTTTTCCACGATCGCTTTCACACGCCTCATGGAACCCTGCCTCTCATGCCAGCTTCACAGTTTCACCTCTGTAATCCTTGTACCTGTTTGTGGTACATCGCCCTAGACTGGAGGCCGGCAAACCTTCCGTCAAGAGCTAGACAGTAGATATTTTTTGTGGGTCATACACGGTCTCTGCTGCATATTCTTTTTTTTCCCCACGACCCATTAAACATATAAAAAACGACTTAGCTCATAGGCCATACAAAAACAGGCTGCAGGCTGGATGTGGCCTGTCGTCCGAAGTTTGCTGACCCCTAATGTAGATACAAAAATGTCGGGGACAGACTGGCCAACACAGGTGGTTGGCATTTATGCACACGGTCAATGGAAAGGCTTTCTGAATGAGAATTCATTTTATAAGTAGCCAGTTCCCAGTGAATACTTGCAAATAATGACAACTTTTGTGTCCTAGATAACTTTGAAACTGTGGAAACTGGAAACATGATAGGCGCCTGAGGGTCTCATGTCCTGTAAAGGAGCATCCCCATAAGGGCTTCAGTAAAAAGCAAAGAGTCTCAGCCAGACCAGGTTGTTGTTGCTGCTGAGCACCCTAAGAGGATATGAGTTCATGCTCGCAGTCCCACTCTTCCTGTAGTTAGCACTCAAATAAAAGCTCCGTAGCACAAGCACATGGAAAAAAGACACACTTTCCCTTCCTACCTACCTACCTAGATTAGATGCATTTAACAAAGAGCATGTACTAACTGCTTGTTAGAGCTGGTGATGCAAGGATGTGTGCTCAGGTTGTGGGAACAGAATACACACAGGAACCAAGAACTAGCAATGCCAGGCCCCAGAAAGCTTGGGGCTCTGCAGGGTCTGTCTTCTATATTCTGCCTACATGAGGGGAACTATGAGCCAGGCCTGGTGGGCCTTCCTTCAACCAGAACGTCCAGTCCCTCGGCAACGGCCCCCACCAAACCAGGGTTTTGGGGGTTGAATAATGTCCCCCGAAATTTCATGTCCACCCAAATTTCAGAATGTGACCCTATTTAAAAATAGGGCCTTTGCACGGGGCGCCTGGGTGGCTCAGTCGTTAAGCGTCTGCCTTCGGCTCAGGTCATGATCCCAGGGTCCTGGGATCGAGCCCCGCATCCGGCTCCCTGCTCCGCAGGAAGCCTGCTTCTCCCTCCCCCACTCCCCCTGCTTGTGTTCCCTCTCTCTCTGTATCTGTGTGTCTCAAATAAATAAATAAAATCTTAAAAAAAAAAAAAAATATAGGGCCTTTGCAGACATAATTAGTCAAGATGAAGTCATATTGGATTAAGATGGGCCCTAAGTCCCATGACTGGTATCCTTGTAAGTAGAGGAGATGCAGACGCATGCAGGGAACAAGGACCTGTGAAGACAGGGGCAAAGACAGGGCTGATGCAGTTACAAGCCAAATAATGCCAAGGACTGCCAGGAGCCACCAGAAGCTAGGGAGGGAAGGATTCTTCCCTACAGCCTCCAGAGGGAGCATGGACCTGCCAACACCTTGATGTAGGACTTCTAGCCTGCAGAGCTAGAAGAGCTAAGAGAATAAATTTCTGTTGTGTGAAGCCACCCCAACTGCTGCTCTCCCTGCTTGTGCTCGCTCACTCTCTCTCTCTCTGACAAATAAAGTCTTTATTTTTATAAAAAAGATTTTATTTATTTGACAGCGAGAGAGCATAAGCAGCGGGGAGCGGCAGGCAGACGCAGAGGGAGAAGCAGACTCCCCGCTGAGCAGGGAGCCTGATGCGGGGCTCAATCCCAGGACCCTGCAATCATGACCTGAGCTCAAGGCAGACGCTTAACCGACTGAGCCACCCAGGCACCCCATAAATAATAAAATCTTTTTAAAAAAATGAAAATCTAATTTTTAGATGCTTCCAAAAATATTAAAATCATTTTATTTTAAATAAACATAGCTAAACAGTGAATTTTTAAACTTTGTAGTATCCAATTCTACCACTACAGAATTTAAGCCTTAAGTTACTTTCCAAGCATTTTAATGACTTTTGTTTATAAGACTTACAGAACATAGATAAAGTTGTTTATCAGTTATTCCCTCCATGGGTGGCTCAGATGGTTGAGCATCTGCCTTCGGCTCAGGTCATGATCCCCGGGTCCTGGGATTGAGCCCCGCGTCAGGCTCCCTGCTCAGCGGGGAGCCTGCTTCTCCTTCTCCCTCTACCACTCCCCCGCTTGTCCTCTCTGGCTCTATCTCTCTGTCAAATAAATAAATAAAACCTTAAAAAAGATTATTCACTCCAACTGAGCACCAAATGAATACAGAGCGCTTACCTCACTACTGAGTTTGGTGACTACTAGTGAAGGGAGCCTAGTCCTGTCCTCAGGAAAACGTTAAGTTAGCTGGCAGACAGCAAGAGCAACAGGAGTTACTAATTTATAGAATTCAGGGAGGGTACAGCCCCCAGAAAGCCAGTCTTACTGTTTTATTTAAGAAACGAAGAACTGAAGGCTCAGATGGTTTAAGTATCACACCCAGAGTTAGTGGCACAGCTGGGTCTAAAACTCCTATCTTAGAGAATAACAACCAAAGATCACATAGAAACGTGCACGGTAACTGTGATACCATTTTAAGGGAAACTCCCTCGGGCTGAGTAGAGGCCAAGGCCCTCACTGCTGCAGCTGAGCTTCCCTGCCGCCCTCTGCTATTTAAAAGCACAGCTGCCAACAAGGGAGGTCTGATCAGCAGGTGTGGTGGGGTATAGCTACCCAGCAGGTGGCGTGAAACAACACCCAGACCTTTCAAGATTTTTCTAAAACTACCTTCCTACTGAATCCTACTATACAGTTTGTTTATTAAATGATCAGAAATCAAAGGCCCCAAAGGGTTCCAATGTGGAGAAAGCCTTTCCTCAAATCCAACAAACTGTCAATCTCTGTGAATTTCAGCCCATAGCCACACCACCATCCTGGCCCTGCTGTCCTCAGAACGTTCCTCTTCCATCACCAAGATCATAGTCATGTTGACCCAGAGAGGCATCCTCCTGAACTTCGTTACATACCAACCATACACAGAACACACATGACTTAAAATTTTTCCTGAAGTCCTTTTCCTGACATTAGGAATCTGAAAATGAGACACTGAAGTCCTCACCTGTTTCACCAGAAGAAACTAAGTATCTGTGGTGTCTCCAAAAGGAAGCAGCATGAAGAACTCTGTTGTCCACCTCCTCTTGCCAGCCCACCTGCAAAGACCACGTGCCTTCTGAACCGATGCCCTCCACACTCTTGGTACAAGCTGCTGCAACACAGCCAGACAGCGGCGGCCGGAGGAGGAGTCCCTAGTGTTTTAGGTATACAAAATGACCTGTGAGGTACACTCCTCCCCCATCCCCTTTCAGACTTACATCGAGCCTCTGGTTACTCTGATACCTTCACTGCTTCCAGTTTGACTCTCTCTTCTATACAATCACTAGAATGAATCCAAGAAAGTGCAAATCGGATCACATCACTATCCTGCTTAATATTCTCCAACAGCTCATTATTGCCCACGGAACAGAGTCCAAATTCCTTAGCACGGCATATAAGACCTTCCTGAGCCCTGCCCACCTATCTATTCTTCTTTCACCCTTGCTCCCTCAACGCAAACCATTTGCCCCCAAATGTTAGACCACTTCACCCCTCCAGGCTCTTGCTGCTCTCCATTTAGGTAACAGCCTTACTCCAGATCTTTCAAACCCAGCTCCGGCCTCGGTGCAGTTTGCCCTCCCCTATCCAGACCAAGTGCTCATTCCCTGAAACCCTCAGCCCGACCCTCCCATCAACACTGTCCATCAAACGCTCGCATCATGGTGCTCACCAGCCCCGGTAAAGATGTTTTCCATAATTCCCCACCTATTCTGTGAATTCCTTCCTCTAAGGGGCCAGGACTGCGGAGTTTATGGAACGAATGGGCATGAGAGTTTGGAATGCGGTCCGAGGTCACAATAACAGATCTCACCAACTCTCCGAGACCAGGGTTAGAGGGAAACGGGTTCTGGGCAGCGCTAGGCCCAGCAAAGCCCTTAGGTCGCAGGCGCTGCGGAGGAGCAGAGGCACAAGAGACCCGCCCGGCTAGCTTCAGTGGAGCCCTCACGCCGGCTCAACAAAAAAACAGCACCGTCTAGGTGGCAGCCATCTTGCTCCCAGGCTCTTCCGCCGGAAGCTGTAGCTAGGCCCTGCCCCCAGACCCGCCCCCTCGCTGGTTGCGCACGGCGCTGGGCTCCTGTCCAGGGGCAGGTGGATCTTGGTTTGGGGGGGCACTCGGAAGGTAACAGAGAACACAAATACATAGCCGCATTAACCGCGGAAGTCAGAAAATATGGGACTCTACTTCGACCCGGCCTTTATTTCTATTTCTTTTAATGCTGGTGTGATTAACATAATTAACAATATTATATTTGTTTCAGGTGTACAATATAGTGATTCAGCGAATCCATTTACAGCTATGTGCTCAAGATAAATGGAATCTTAATCCCCATCACCTATTTCACCCATCCCCCCACCCACCTCCCCTCTGGTAACCACAAGTTTGTTCTGTGTTTAGGAGTCTGTTTTTTGGTTTGTCTTTTTGTTCGATTTGTTTCTTAAATTCCACGTGAGTGAAATAATATGGTATTTGTCTTTCTCTGGCGTATTTCGCTTAGCATTACACACACACACACTTCTTTATGCATTCGTCTATCAGTGGGCACTTGGGCTGTTTCCATAGTTTGGCTATTATAAATAATGCTGCAATAAACATAGGGATGCATGTATCCCTTTGATTTAATATTTTTGGGGTTTTTTTAAGATTTGCCCACTTGAGGGTGAGAAAGAACTATGCGGGCGGGTGAGGAGCAGAGGGAGAGAAGCAGACCGAGCCAAGCAGGGAGCCCGATGGGGGAGGCTCCATCCCGGGATTCTGGGATCATGACCTAAGCCAAAGGCAGACACTTAATGAGCCACCCAGTATTTTCGTATTCTTTAGGTAAATACCCAATAGTGTGATTAGTGGATTGGGTAATTGTATTTTTTTTTTAGGAACCTCCATATTGCTTTCCAGAGTAGCTGCACCAGTTTGCATTACCACTCCCAGTGCACAAGAGTTCCTATTTCTCCAGATCGACACTTGTTTCTTGTGATTTTAGCCATTCTGACAGGTGTGAGGTGATGTTTCATTGTCTTGATTTGCATTTCCCTGATGAGTGGTGACATCTTTCCATGTCTGTTGGCCATCTGTCTTTGGAAAAATGTCTGTTCATGTGTGCTGCCATGTTTTAATTGGATTATTTGGTTTTCCTTTTTTTTTTTTGGACTAGGCTCTATGCCCAACATGGGGCTCAAACTCACGACTCTGAGACTAAATGTTGCATGCTCTACCAACGGAGCTAGTCAGGCGCCCTGAGTTGTGCTTCTTTATATATTTTAGATCCTAACCCTTTGCTGGATGTCTACAAGTATCTTCTCCTTCAGTAGGTTGTCCCAGTTTTGTTGTTTCCTTTGCTGTGTGTAAGTGAATCAGCCTTTACTTAAGGTGAGACCAGACCTTAAAGAAAATGGGGAGTCTGCTAACTGCTAAGAGGGAAGAATATTCTAAGGAAAATGACCCCCTGGGTAAGGTCCCGAGTAAAGACAGCCTGCCAGATTTCAAGGAAGGTAAAAAGTGTTCCTAGAGGACAGGGAGGGCAAGCAGACTGGTTGACCTTGGCCAGGTGAGGGCTGTTTTGAGGACTAAAGGAACCACAAAGTGCTTAGGACTCCAGCATTTGTTTGCTGGTGCCACTCAGACCTAGCCCCAAGCCTTTTCCCATTGCCAGAGGAAACCTTAGTTGCATAATCAGCTGACTGCAGAAGAGGGGACCCATAAATGCCAGCTAACACATCCAAGGAGGGAGTGCACCCAGTTCTTCCGGGTCAGACCCCAGGTCTGCTATGATCAGATTTCTATAGGTTTCTACAGGTTAAATGGGGGTCCATTATAAAGGTCCTCCCACAAGAGAACGCAATGGGACAGTTCTGTATACCATTGCTAATAGTCTGTTTGTAACCCATCAGGAAAGGATAAGCTATACAGAACTTCATTTGACTCTAAATACATCCTAAAATTACTTCCAAGTGAAAACTGGATTTAACAGAGTGAAACAGTACAGGCAGTTTTATGGAGATTTTTTTCTTTATTGAGAAACTTAAGACTTGGGTACATCAAATAAAACCAATTTCTGGGGGAAAAAATCAAAACCCACAATAGAAAAAAAAAAGTTAACACTGTCTGGGCCATAGCAGAACCCAGAGAATATATTCTTTTAATTGAAAAATTCTAGGTGCTTCATAATTGACCTTTTGATACAAAATGACCTATTAAATTTCCAATTTGTGGTTCTTGGTGTTGAGGTCCATAGGACACGCTAGGAATCTTCAAACCTTGAGCTGAATTCCAGGAGGGGTTATTTGGCTTTTGAATCCTGAAAAGCACCAACACAAATTAAATACATAATCAGAAAAACCTGAGATGCACTGAATCTCCGGCTTATAAAAAGGTATTGCGAGAGCAGTGCTTCCTGACATTCGGGCAGGACGATTTTGTTGGGGCTGTCCTGGGCACTGTGGAACATTTAGCAGTATCCCTAGCCTCTACCCACTGGATGCCAGTGACGCATCTCCAGCTGTGACAACCCAAAATATGTCTCCATTGGCAAATGTCCTCTGAGAGGGAACTCCTGGCTGAGAATCACCCACTCTGAGGCTAGCTAGGTACTATAAAGCCCCACACCCTTCCTGGCCATCCTGTACTCAAAGCTACCATTCTCTTGCTTAAATCCAAATGAAGGGTCTGGGCCCTTACCACGTGTCCTTTCCCCTCGCCTCTGGCTCTGGTTTGTCTGGTCCTCTCCTTCCTCCATGAGGAGGCACCCGCCAGTCCTGGTCATAGGTCCTAGTTAAGCCTCACTCACCCCCGCCCCTGCGGCTGGGGGCCACAGCTGCCAGGGTCAGAAGTGGACTAGAACACACCCTGTAACTAGTCAGGTGTGTCTGTCTCTCCCACTCCGACACCAGGGCCCGTGCCCCTTGTGTTCCCAGAGCCACGCGGCGGCTGCACACACAGCTGCTCTCACCAACCTCAAGCCAAACCAGGGAGATATGTTCATAGAAATGAGGCTGTGGGATCTGATTATGACGCCTTATCTGTCATTATTCTAACCCAAAAAGGTCATTCATCTAACCAGGGGCTCCTTCTACAGAAAACTGTCTGTTCCTTATAGTTAACAACCTGTTCTCTCTTTTCTCCAAATTAACTCTTCCAGATGACAGACAGAACCCAGGTGACTGCCTGTCCAAGGTACCGGGTTATAGTGGCTCTAAGTAATCTTTTAGGAAGATTGTCACAAGTCAAAGCCATTGCAGAAAACAAAAACAGCCAAACATACGGTTTTTCCTTGGCTAAGAGGTAGCAGCGGCAACAGCGCCCACCTTCTGGGCAGCTTCTTTCTTGGCATGATGAGCCTGCAGAACCGCCACAGCTTCATCCACCTGTGAGCAATCTCCAGGTGGTTAGTGACATCTGAGCAGAGGCCCTTGGCCCCTCCCTGGCGCGTGGGGCCCAGCAGGGGTGTTGCCGGGTGCTGCCCGCTCCTAATTCCCACCCACAGCAGCTCTCAAGTCACAGGCGAGGCGCGACGAGAGGGTTGGGAGACAGCAGACCCGCCTCCCCCTGCAGGGCCTGGGGACCAGCTCACCTTGGAGCGGAGCGACTCGGGGGACTCGAGCATGTGCAGCAGCTCAGAGTTGTCAATCTCCAACAGCATGCCCGTGATTTTCCCAGCCAGGTTTGAATGCATGGTTTGGATGAGCGGGAACCAACGTTCTCCCAGCATCTGCTTCTGCTCCTGGGGGGGCGCTGCGGCCAGCATGGAGGCGGTCAGGGGCTCCTGCCCCTGCACACGGACCGCAGGCTGCGGTGCCTGGGAACCAGGAGAGGCAGCAGGTTAGCAACACTGAAAGGACGCTCGATGGTCCTGAGCCTGACCACTCAGTCTGAAAGCCTACTATGTGACAGAGATGGAGGTGGGTGTCCTTGGTGCCAAGGAACTAATGGCAAGCTTGGGGGATGAGGGGTTACAGGAGCAACAGAGTGTTATAGGCTTGAACACAAAACCAACTACAATAAAAACAGCATGCTATTAAAAGGGAAAGGAAATGACTAAGAAAATAAACCTACAAGGCTCAGCAATCATCAAATGATTCCATTTATAATTACATCCCACATCACTTTATTGTACCAAATGTTTTTATTCTATCAAATGCTTGAGGACTGTCAACATGCATTGTCAATGCCAGTCCCAGCCCTAAAAGGAAGGCTCTGAAGGTAAAAACTATTTTACGTAAGCAGAGTTCTGAGGCATCTCGCATTTAGACAGCATGAAGCACGAGCAGGCGACTTAGGGGCCACAAGGCAGACTGCAGCTCCTCTAAGCAAATTACTCCTGGGCTCTGGGTCCAGTCCCCCATCCCAACTTAAGATCTCTGAAGCCGAACTTCTTTCCTGCCTGCATGTCCCAGTCTCGCAGAGCAGCTAAGGATCAACTCGGCCAGTGGGCGTGAGCAGCTCAAAGAGCTAAGCGAGCACACACATGTTGTACAAAGGAGGGCGGAAACAGCAGCTGTTTCTGCTGGGGCATTTCTGAGTAGACTACTACGGGGAGGAATACTTCCCAGCCCCTTCTCTCCCAGCAGAGAGAGCCCGAGAGGCAGTGTCACCACAGAAAACACGGCACCCTGACACAGCGGGCATTTAATACCTGTTGGAGGAATCAAAGCAAGGCACCTTTTCAATCAAGTGCCAACAGGGGAGATCCTTTTAGCATTCTGTTTGGTGGGCCTCACCTGCAGGGGCTGGATAGCAGGGTGAGGGCTGCGGACACTGGAGGCGTATTTGTAAGGTGCGACAGCCCGAGGGGCAGTAGCAGCGACAGCAGCACGAGGTGCTAAGGTCTGCACGGCTGGGGGAACACCTCCAGACTGGCAGCTGTCAGTCAGCCCTTGCTGGGCGGCACCAGCCCCACCAAAGTCCATAGCCAAGCGGTCCGGGCACTCAGACCCTACAACAGACCAGCAAATGCACATCAGTGTCGGCAGCGGATGTCCAACTGGCCACGTCCCACGGAAGGAGCCATTCCAAAGCCTGTTCACACAACACATCGCACACGGGACCACGACTGCTACTTTCGAGGAGCAGCCAACAGAGAACACACAACTCTCTCCACCTCTTGGAATACGGGACATAGTCTGTAAAGAACAGTTTCCTTCAATCTCCCAACCCCACCCAAAAGAATAGGCTGCCTCTGTAGTCATCCAGCTAACAGGCTTCTATAATTAAGCTTTCTCACATGAGTCACCAATGAGCAGAATCCTTAAAGTCACCAACACTCCTAGAACTCCCACTGTTTCTCTGCTCCTTAAGGACCAACCAGAGCACACAGCCATGATTACAGGACCGGAACTGGAACGTGGGCCCAACAAACCGACCAACCCTGGGCAGGGCCTAGCCAACCTGACTCCCTCCTCCCCAGGCCACACTTCTCAAGGCCAGTTTGCTCACCGACTCTCTGAGCGGTAGTAGGGAGGCCGCGAGAGGCCGGAGCATCACCAGTTGGAGCCAGATGGCGAAGAGCGGGACGAGGCCCAGACTGGCGTATAG